TGAATGAAGCAGCCATCCTTGCAGCGCGCCGTGACCTTAAGGAAATAAGCAAAGACGAGATATCTGATGCCCTTGAGAGAGTAATTGCTGGACCAGAGAAGAAAAATGCCGTTGTCTCAGAAGAAAAGAAGAGGCTGGTTGCTTATCATGGTATAAAAAGGCATTAAAATTCATTTTGCAGTTGTTGACCTGTTATTTATTGGTTGTCTAACTGCAGTGTTTGAATTGCACTGCAGAGGCTGGGCATGCTTTGGTTGGTGCTCTTATGCCAGAATACGATCCAGTCGCGAAGATCTCCATCATTCCTCGTGGCCAAGCTGGTGGCCTCACCTTTTTCGCTCCAAGCGAAGAGAGGCTAGAATCAGGGTTGTACAGTAGAAGCTACCTAGAGAATCAGATGGCTGTCGCGCTGGGTGGAAGGTCAGTATGCATTTCCTGAAACTTCATGATATTATCTATAAATTCTATGAATCTGGAACAAGTGTACCAATAGCTTAACTTTGGTAGGGAGTATTGGATAGTATTGACACTGACCAGTATTAAAGAAACTAAAGTCTTGTAAATTATTCTGTCCAATTCCATCCAATACTGCTTACCAAACATCCACTAAAATTGTTGATTATTGTTCATTACTCAAGTCAAATAGTACGTCAAAAAATTTGCTTACTGCTATAAATGTTTGTGGAGATAACATATTGACAATTCGCTTGCTCTTTGATTTGCCTTGATGTAGGTAGATAATGTGTTTTCCTTCCCCTCTTTGTCAATTTACTTACCAAATCTAATTCGAATGATTATACTTACGAAGAAAGGAACAATATGTTGATAATGAAGCGAACACGGTTGTCTTGTTCCAGTAATTTCCTGGTTCCTTGTTCATCGCCTAATATCGTATTCCTCACTCTCCTTGTTGATTCAGAGTTGCAGAAGAGGTTATTTTTGGATCCGAAAATGTAACAACTGGGGCATCGAATGACTTCATGCAAGTTTCTCGGGTGGCTAGACAGATGGTTGAGAGATTTGGGTTCAGCAAAAAGATTGGACAAGTAGCCATCGGTGGACCTGGTGGAAATCCCTTCCTTGGTCAGCAGGTACCTTCTATGCTTCTTTTTTATAGTTAAAAAACTTGAGCCAACGTAGCTCTCTCACCGAGGGTGAACAGCTATATAAATCTGTATTCTTTGTCGATACTCCCGGAGTTGGAGATTAACGTTTAATCCAGTACACGTCTCTATACAATTTCCATTGATCTTGTAATTAGATTTGTTAGTGATGCTGAGTTGCTACCTGCAGATGTCGTCCCAGAAAGACTACTCCATGGCAACTGCTGATGTTGTCGACGCAGAAGTGAGAGAGTTGGTAGAAACAGCATATGCAAAGGCCAAGCAAATAGTCTCAACTCACATTGACATTCTACACAAGCTTGCTCAACTGCTAATTGAGAAAGAGAGTGTCGATGGAGAAGAGTTCATGAGCCTTTTCATTGATGGAAAAGCTGAACTATACATTGCTTAATTAATCATAGTTTGACAACTTGAAAGAATCACATTTTGAAATCTCAATAGCGTTTGTAAATTATTTTCTACAGTTCAATGTATACACTGAAAAAGTTACTAGATTAAGCAATTTTTTTGGCAAGCATATGCAAAGGGTGGAAATAGAAGACGACCTAGTTCAAAGAAGCGAAAAAATAATAATAGTAATTACACAAATTGGTAGTAAACGCTCCCTCAACATGATACTCATATGGGAGATACCGTTATGACGCACAATAAATCCAGTAAACTAAATATTGAATGAGTAAACGTTTCTGCGCTACGTACAACATGAAGAAGGGTTAAAACTATTATCCGTGGTCAGGTCCCATTATCTAAAGCCTCATTTTTTCTCACTCTCATTTTCAATTACATTTTCTGAATAAAATAATTTTACACGTGAACCCAATTTTTTTCTACTTAAAAAAAAAAAAAAAACTACTACAAAATCTATTTCCTAAAGAATGGGGCACAAACATAGCCTTAGATTTACAAGTGCATGTTTTATGGTCTGATTCGTTATAAAATCCGTATCTCAAAAATATAGATTCTATTATATATAATATACATAAAAAAAATTGATTAAAAATATCTAGTTTAATCTAACATGAGTGAAAAATTTAGGGGTTGTTTTACGAAACTTTTGATAAAAGTTGATGAATGAGCAACTTGACAGGGCTTGCTCTTTGTAGAAGAGTTTGATGTGAAAGTTACCTTAAATTAACTTTTGAAAACTCTTCCAACAAGATAAAAGAGTTAATACGTAAGATTTTCAGAAGGTCACTAAATTTCAAAAGTTCTCGTTAATTGCTGAACTTTACAAATGTAATTTCATCAATCCCTGGGAACTTTAAATGATTTCCCGTTAGTCATTGCAATTTACAAAATATAATCGTATCCATCACACAGTTACTAACGGGGAAGATGAAAAGAATTTTATTTTTAAATTATCTATTTGGGATTCATTTGTAATTTTTTTTGAAAATTTTTGGATCATGGTCGTAATTTGTTTTTTTAAAAAAAATTTCTTTTCTTTTATTTAAATGAGAGAATATATTCATTATTTCACAATTTCTTATTGAGAAAATGGTCGGTAAGGGGTATTCCACACTAAATCCCTTTTTGACCCCCATTAAAATTATTTTTTCGACAGTTTGCCCAATAGGTATGGAGTATTGCTTTGTTTAGCCTTTTTGTTAATGAAATGTGTTGACATCGAAAATTGTATGAACAATATTCAAGCCAACTTAATAGAGAAATTGAAACTCTTTAAGGATAGTTATTCGTGAATACAAGTATGGTTACAAACATGTTGCTCTTGTTTTTTTAAAGAAGATATTTGAAATATGATATGTAAGAATATTTGTAAGTAAAAGCCTCTCTCCCCTTTTTCTTATTCCTTTCTCCCTTTTATAAGGAAAAATCTGTATGTGTACTACTTCCTCCATCTTGTCAGCTATAGTACTGAACTGAGGAGGTACATCAATGGTACACTTGGATTGGTTAGGGAGGTCGGCTTGTCAGGTCATCATGATTTTGGCCTTACTGGTGGGTCCCAACAATTAATGAATTACTTATGGAAGGAAGCTAAAGCATATGATTGATAGGTGTAGGGGCACTGATGTAAGATCACCCATATGCTGCTCACTGATTGACTATTTGTACAATCGATAATCATCATGTCTCTTCAAACCTCAATAAATAACTTAATCCGAGCTGACATGACATATACCGATCTGACAACAATATCAGCTCATCGACTATAAGAAACTGTAGTTATTGACCTCGGAGTTCGAATGCCAACAAAATATATGATTGAAAAGCTGTGGATCCAAGAAATGTATGATTAAAATTAATTGTTAACTTTGACTTGAAATTTTTATCCAACTTTTAATCTGCACCAAGCACAGACTAAATATTATATATTATAATGTTGACTATACTATCCAATAAGACGTAGTTATGTAGAAGTTTCTTGATCTTAAAAATGTGATGATCCATAACAAAATTCCTCACGGCTTCATTCCGTTTGTCCGACCCTAATGATGGACATGATATCTCTAATTCTAAGGGATGTATTCCTTGAAATTAATTAACATAAATTGCAAAATAAGATAATCACTTATAAGCTAAAAGCCTAAAAGTGGTTGGTACCGTCAGTTAAAAAATCCCAAACATATCGCAAGTTGCAAAACCAATTATCAAGAAACCAGTTATTGCCAATTCATCTTTGTTCCTTTCAATTAGACAGAAAAATTATTGCCAGAAAATGATGGAAAATAATTGCTTAATTATGGGATTTCATGCAAACTAAACGACTTATGCAATTATTGATTACTCAGTAAAAATAATTACTTAAATAATTATAATTTAATTCATTACAGCTCCCGCACTATATTTTGTATTTCGGCTGTTTATTTATATATATTTTTGGCATGGTCCTGACTTGTCCAGTTCACATATCAGATCATGTACCCTAGTGCTAGGTTGGCTGTCTTTGATAAAAGTAACGTGCGTCTTAAGTATTGAGAAATAAAAAAAATTTAAATAACCAATTTTAAAATACAATAAAAAACACGCAAGATTAATAGAAGTTCGCTTCATTACGAGATTACATCCTCTCGCATCCTCTCACTAATTAATTATGACGGGAGAAGGTCTACAATAGAAAATATCAATCATATTTTCTCTAATCTCTCTTTTTCTTTATTTGATGATAATACATAAAACTGGGACTGCTCCCTATTTATAAGATAAATTTCGGTAAATTCGAGTTTTATAAGAACTCCTATTCTTTCATAAAATTTTACAAGAATAGAAAATTTTAAACAATTCTTAATTTAAATTTTCGTTCGGGATGCCCCGGAAGGAGGGTCCCCAGAGACGGACTCGGGATTGGATTACAAGCCGGGTTAATACGTAAAAGAAATTACACAGGATAGTTTTTTTCTTTTCTATTGAAAAAATTGAATGGGATGGGAGCAACCCGTTCCCGCCCCCCCAGATCCTTCAGTGGGGGTTCCAATTCCCACGATGATCTTATCGCCTAGGTCAATCCATGACCAGCTCCACGAAATGGCAATAGTAAGGCTTAACAATAATTTGGTTCCACAACTTAATAATCAACTCGACCGCCCCAAATATGTGTGAAGAGTAAAAAATACTTGAACGAAATGTGTATAAAGATTTAAGTCAATGATTAAGATATGGAACTGATAAGCTAAAAACGATTTATTTCTTTGATTGTTAATTACAAACCAAAAAATCAAGTGACGAATTGAAATTATATAATTATTTTCACTGTAAACCAACATACTGTATAATATGTAAATTCCCTTTTTTTGTGTAATATTCACCATTTTTTTTTCTCACTACTTTTTCACAAAAGAATAAAATATGATTAAAAAAGAAAACGAAAAAGCAGTAAATCTTTTGTATTCTTCATCGTCGACTTTTTCTTCCCGGTTATTGAGTAAGAACATTTAGCAGTGAAACCCTAGTATTCATCAAACTCCTAAAGGTTCTTTCTCCACAGCCCTCAATTTCAACAATACAATCCTCCAATTGACGCAGTTTCTTGGACACCATTTTCACCTCTTCATCTCCTTTCTTCTTCAAACCCCACAAGTTTTCCATATTTAGTTGCTCAAATTCTTCAATGGCTTCATCCATCTTCACTTTTTTTGCCTTCTTGCTGAATCTTAGCCCCATGCAAAATGGTTTCTGCAACGAAAACGATGTCGAAAGTCGACCTAAAAGTTCGAAAGAAACCAACACTGTAACCTGAATAACATCTCTAATGATATCAGTGATCTCAGTCCCATTTTCAGGGATTGAGTATTTTCCAATGGATTGGACAGTAGACACCAATTTGCTCATATCTTTAGCCGTTTTGTTTAGATTTTTCAAATGGATAGCCATTTTGGATTCATCTCTTCTTCTCACAGCCACCTGAGCCGCTATGAATTCTTCTTTCAACGTCAAAACCAGCATTTGGAAGATCCCATAAACGTCGATAAATCGAAGAAAGTCTTCCAGAAGCTTTTCAATCATCTGATCTGAGACTGATTCCTGAGTCTGTGGAAGCTGGAGAAGATCATCAAGGGATTCATGAACAATTTTCAGGCTGCTCAGGCCATTACATAGCCAAACAGAAGTCCGGTTATCGGATTGCGAACCCCATGATTTAAGCTCGTTGATTTCATCTCTGAGCTGAGAAATTATGGGGTGGGTTCTGCATGGAAGACTTGCTGATCTAACATGGAAATATTTTTTGGGTTTTGCTGAATAGCTAGGCTGATTTGGGAAGGAAAGAGATCTACTATAACCAGCCACCATTTCGTCGGTGATGCCGCTTCTTTTAGCAGTGAATTTGCGAATATGTGATCTCTGGAGTTTGACAAAGAACTGGATCGGTTTATAAAGGGTTCCACACAACGCGGAGAGAGAAATGGAGAGGACACACGTGGCGTAGGGGTGGGGTGGCGTAGGGTAGGGTAGGGGAAGAGTGAGACTTGGATCCAACAATATATACAGGCTGGTGAAGATGGAAAATGCATGTGGGCATGCAATGATCTGTATGTGTTTTTTTACAGGTTTTCCATTTGTGGTGGACGCCACAACACCACGTGCGAGTGACAATCTGTCCTCCTTAAACTCTTGTATTTTAATAAATTTTCTGTGGTCAATACCATACTTATAATTGAAGTATATAGTCTTATGCGATCGTAACGGTTCAAATTCAATGGTTTGTGTGTCAAACCAGTCATTATTTTATTATTAATTTAATTGTCTCATTAGAAATTAATGTTTGCTGAATAGCCAACCGTGACAAATGGGCTCCCACAAGTTTGTCTCTCAGATTAAAAAAAATATATATAAACCCACTGAGTCACTCACTCAATCGGAAAACTCGGTGTTTAATTAATTGTTAATAATTATTTTTTTCTGGTTACAATGAACAAAATTTGCAGGCCAATGTGTCAATGAATCATAGCATGTATAGGCATGATTGCCAAAACTGATTAATTATTAATTAATCAGAGTATAGAAACTAGGGAACAATACATAACTAAGAGGTTTAATTTTACCAATTTCAAATTTAAGAACTTAAGTTTTAAAATTTAAAATTTCAAATATTTTTAAATTTTATTTATAAATTAATTAATTAAACATATATTTTATTAATTAAATATATTAAGGTCACAGTTCCATATAATTTGGTCACAAATTCTATATAATTGGTCANAGGTCATAGTTCCATATAATTTGGTCACAAATTCTATATAATTAGTCACATATCTTAAATTTGTCACAAATCACAAATTTTAAATGTCACAAATTATTTTACAATCACGATTCAAAAATTTTATAGGTCACAATTTGTTTATCATAATTCTAATGAAGTCTAGCTTGTTCTAACTATGAAGAAGAGCAAACTACGTGTCAAACCCTAATAAGAGTTCTAAAGATCTTGGGTCGGACAAATGTGACCTCGACCACGAGGTTCGCGGTAAGCGAGCGGCAAGAACGCCGCTCGAGCACCAACGGGCGACAGTTCTCTGTTGAAAATTCAGTCCCATCGCTCGAGCGGTAAGCTAGCGACCATTCGGCATCTTTTCCTCCTTGGTCCATATTTTGACATTTTCAAAGCCCAATTCAACAAATCCACAAATATCGAATGGATTTTTGGTCAAGCTTTAACAATCCTATTATGTAGTGAAAACTGTTATCACAAGATCTCTCCTCGGTGAGCAGATTCCTTTCAATTCATTTTTTCCCTAGCTTAATAACAGTGTTCAATAATTGTACAAAGAGAACTTTAGTATATAATGTTCATAGCAGCAAAGGTCTTATTCACATCTCTGATGAGCTATTTTGACATGGTTTTACGAGGATGAACAAGATTAGGCTCCAGGTACTCAGAAAAAAGTGACAGGTGGAAGTTATAAGGTGGAACGATATTGAGTTGCTTGAAGCAGAGATTGACGAACTTAACCGCCAAGTAGCAAGAAAAACTGCTAACGTTAAAATCTCTAGAGCCTCAAAATCTGAAGGTTAGAGATCCGACAGCTTTTTCATAATTTAGGTAGCAGTTGAACATTATCCTATCTCGGAAACAAAGCATGTTTGGTAAGATTAAAAAACTAAATGTCAAGTAAGTTTGTGTTCGTTTGAATATGGAAAAAAGTTACATATTTTGAAAGTAGCTCTTATATTTGAATCAAAATAAGCAACTTATTTTTAACTTTCACCGGTAATGAATTATTTAATCAAAACTTATTCACTTATAAGTAAACTTTTTAAGCTTATCCAGACAGACATGCTCTAATTGGTGTGAAATGTAAGTCAAAACTTCTATGTGACAGCCTGGCCAGTTGTGAATCAACTAATCTTTTCTACTAACCTAATATATAGTTCCCTAATTTTTATTTGCCACTTTCCTAATCTTTCTCTTTAGAATTTTGGATTGATTGAATTTTTTAACCCTAATGGTATGTTTGCTATGAAGTGTTAGATGGCACTGAACAATTTATGCAAGAAAAAGTGGTAAAATCTTGTCCATTATATTGTTTAGTACTACGTACCATACACGACCTTATAGATTAGATGGATATTGAGAAGAACCCAACCTCTGTTTCATTTGCAGACTAGTGTGACGGAGACGAGTGCTCCGGAACTTGCCAAGCTGCTGGTTGGTTACAGTATTCATTAGAATATTGAAGTTCATTTTGATATGGAACGGGTGCTCGGTACAATGCCAAAGATGGCGGAGCAACCTCCAGGAGAGAACATTTAAATGGAGCTTCACGTCTTCTAGGACAAGGATGTTTGAAATTACATCGATAAAAAGGGACCCTTGTATCAGAAATTGAACTACCTTAAATCTTGCTCAATTCAGCTTCAAATGATTTATTTTGACTATTAAATTATTTATTTTGCACCATCTTTTTATTTGTATCATTTTCCAAAAAACTTCTGCTGTTAAAAAAATCATATGCTATGAGTAATTCTCCACATCACATTAATCACAAAATCTCAGAATCTACTGTTACAAGGAACTGTCATCACTATACTGAAAAATGAATATATTAAACCCAAATTGATATTTCAATATGAATAAATTACACGTGGACTAAAAAATACACTCTCTTCACCTACGAACTCGACCCTCCGCCCTCCAAAAATATAGAAACAGAAAAAGAAATAGGAAAGACACCTTCTCAGAACCAAATCACCACCTAAGCAATTACGAATTCATGGCAGAAACAAGAGGTCTAGTGCTCTTTGAGATTCTTGAACAAAACATGAACAACAACAACACAGACGATAGCAAGAATAGTCTGAAATATGTTCTAATTTCCTGCATTCCAAGATCGAGCACCTCTACCTTCTTCCCATATCTATTTTTCCTCTCCATTAGATACCCGTTAAGGTAGTCATCTATTGATACCCACTTGTCAAAAGTGGATGCAACTGCCTTTGAGTGAAGTTCATCCATCTGCTCTAAGCCTATACTGAACATCTTGAAGAATGCTGCAGACCAATCATTTAGTACTCTCTGCAAATCCAAATATCAAGAAAATTTAGTGATATATGTACTTGGATGAAAGTAAACTTGCATTTCTTTTATCTCCAAATAAAGGGTTAAACCGAACTTTATTTTGTTTCAAAGTGGTCAATGAAGTTTGGCTTTTGTTTCAGTCTGGTCAGTTAAATTCGGTTAACTTTTCTAGGGCAATGTTCAACGTGGAAGACAGAAAACTAACAGATGTTAATTGAGTGGCTTAACCAAACAAAAGTTAAACTTCAGTCAGTATTTTGGAATGGAATAAAGTTTCATGAATACCATGATACTTCGCTACAAGGCGAGTGATGTTCAATGTTTTTTACCTTCAAAGTAAATCTTTCTTATAAAACACATAATATCTAGGATGTAATTGGATAAGAAAAAATGTGCTCCAGACTGCAGTTCGACATACGTTAAAGGTGGTGATATCGATAGGATTGAACATTTTGAAGCAGTCTTTTGAGGAGGCTTCGCTATCTCCATATATCTGCAACATGAATTGGATGTGTAAGGCCATTAAGGGCAAAAAGATTCAAGCAAATTACAGTAGCAAGAGGGCATCCACAAACCTCAAAGGTAAAAGCCATGGGCACCCTAGCAATGTCATACATGTAATCAGTAGCCGTCCCATGAGCTAGATACCTATATATAAGATTGCAGATTCGCAATCAGTAGAAATGAGGCGGGCATGTTAAAAGTAAAGATTCCCATGCTAGCTCTAGTTATCCCTTAATAATCAATACCACCATCTTCCCAGGACTTGCTCCCAAACATTTACTGAACCCAACCCCAAAAAATAAATAAATAAATAAATAAAGAATTGCAAGTTGATTGTGGCGAGTTTGTAGAGATCATTAAATTGCTTGGTAAGAACCAACTTTTCTCAGCTTTCAAATTAATGGTATAACACTAACCCAACAGAGCCTCCGCCTGATCCGATTATGCAACGATCTTTCAAGTGAAAATGGTTCATCACTTCAAGCATTGATGTCATCATCTTCGAAGGTAGTCCAACTGGAGTTGTGTTTTTGTGATCATATGGCATAAACAGAGCCTAATAATAAAACAAGTACCAATAAGAAAGGCTATTGACACCATACCCACAAGGAAAACAACAGTCCACACAACAGTAGAAAGGCACAGAAACAAAAAGAAGATATTGACAGAGCCTCAATGACTAGAACATGCAGGAAATAGTTATGGTCAGCTGAATGTTCAAGTACAAAAGCAAGTCAATGGAATGGCAGAATAACATGTCCTCATTATGATATCGAAGGAGAAGTATCAACAAACCAACGAATTCACAAGGGATAAAAAATTACATGTTACCAAAATTTTGCAACATTAATAAAGAACATAAATAAAAAGTAAAAGCCAACATAATAAACCATATGTGCTCTGAAAATATAAGCTGTCATATATGCATTCATGCATGTGCTGCAATATTCTCCACTTGATGTTGTTTGACTGCTTTTCATTTTTGGATGTTTCAAGATGGATAACCATACTCAAAATGGAAGTTCTGATACATTCAGATTCTGACATTGCCCACTTACAGCAGGCATTAGAAAATTTAGCAAAAAATGATGTCCACATTCAGACACTTTATAAAGGTTGTGGTAGAAAGCCAAGGGTAGATTTAGATTTGAAATAGTGGTAGTGGGATGTCAATAATGAAGGTTATACCTCTTAAAATTATGCCAAAAGGGTGGTGTGAGTGGGGCAAACCAT